CATCATTGCTACTTGTGTGTTTTACTTAAAAAAACACATTAATTATTTAAGGTACAAGAATCATACTGCTTCAGAGCCACGTTTAATTATTGACATAATGCAGTTCCTCACAATCATTTATGACAAAACATAATGCTTTAAAATCACACTGCCTTGAGTGGTTAGATAAAGGTCCGAAATACCTTTTACATTAGTGGAATAAATGTGGATTATTAATTCAAGGATACCAACAGAAATAATGTCTATGATAAAAAAAATCCAGACTGTATCAATGCTTACCCTGATTATGTCCAAACATAATTTAGATCTATATATTGCAAAAAAACTGTTTTCTGATGAGTCTATTTATAACCATGTGCTTTTTTGGCTGCATCACTCATCTATAAATGATACTGAAACATCTTTATTTTTTATCTGTCTCTCATTTCTTTTCATTTTCTCTCCTCCTGATGTCCTTGACTAATGGTCATGCACTATTTTGCTTCATTTTGGTTTCAGATTGATAAAAAGTTTGGCTATTTCCCAAAGGATGCAGTGCAAGTGGAACAAGTTTATGCAACTAATGAGAAAGTTGTGGAAACACAGGTAAAGCAGATTTGATTTTACTAACAAGACATACTTTTCATACTAGTTATAGAAGGTGATAGCAATAGCAGATAGATAGAAAGTAACATTGACGTGCATTCTTAAAGAACCAGGTATATTGTCGAATGATAACAGTTATTTAACCTTGATTGTTGATTTTATATGATACAGAAGCTTCGTTATTTCAGAGCCTGATTTTCTCTCTTCATTCAGAGATCTGATTTCTTCTGTATGGATGAGTTTGGTTATCCTATTGACTCCAGTGATCTGGACAGTGATAATGAAACTGATGACCAGAAAATCCAAATCCACGAGTCAGAATCACACAACGACGACAAAAACGCTGAACGTCCTTCAACGTCTGCAGATCCCTCTCCAGAATTCCCAGTTGAAACTCAGCAATCTGAAGACACATCAACAGAGGGAGATGAAAAGAAAAACACTGGTGATGCTGCTGCCGGGACTCACAAGGAAGCACGTGGCAATCCTGTGGTTCTGAATGAACAAGGTGGGTCTCCCTCCTCCTCATGGCTTTCAGTGACAGGATGGCTGGGTCTGGGAAAAGAGGAGGAATCTGTCAATTTGCCTGAAGAAGAGAAAGACGAAGGGAAAGAATCACAAGCCGAAACCTCAACTACATCAGTGACGGGGTGGCTGGGGTTCGGAGGAGAAGAAAAAACTGATGATGATGTGAAACGTGGAGAAGATGAAATTAAAGAAACTGATGATTCTTTCACTTCAACCTTGACTGGATGGCTTGGCTTCGGAGGAGATGCAAAAACAGATTCTGCCGAAAAGGAGGAAGATGGCACAAGAGAAGTGAAGGAAGAAATTGAGCCAAAAGTAACATTCAGGAGCAGGAGGATGTCTCTGGACCTCGAGAACAGCCAATTACAAGAAGAAGAGAAGAAAGAGACGAGCACATTGGATTGGCTCGGAAGCGGACTGTCACACACCCTGGGATTTGGCGTGACCAATCAGGAGCCAGAGCATGAGACAAATGCTGAAAAGGAGGCTGAGAAGGCAAGTGAGGAAGAGGAGGAACAGCCATCATCTGGTTCTTGGTTTGGGATTGGGGACATTTTAGGATTGGGGAAAAACGAGAATAAAGTTCATGAGAGTCAAGACAGTGGGTTTAAAGACACAGAAGAGGAAAAAACCACAGAAGAAGAAACGCTTTTAGAGAATGTAGACACCAGTGAAACACAGGGAGAGGAGGAAAAAAAAGAATCAGATGAAGAGCGACTGGAGGAAGAGCTTGAGACGAAAACAATAACAGAAGAGGGAGACAATTATGTTAATAGCAGTTCCAACAAAGACACTGTTCAATCTGAGACAGGATCAGAGTCTACCACCTCTGCGCTCGATGAAGACAATGGTAATAAAAAACCTGATGATTCAGACTGCAGCAAGAATGAGGCTGCGACCAAGGTTTCTCCTCAGATCAAGTTAGAGGAAACGTCCCAGGCTGCAGGTGGAATATCTATAGAGACAGAGGTCGACGAACATCATGTGCCCAAATCAGAAAATGTCAACTACAGGGAGTCAGGAGAAGAGGAAATCAAAACTTCAAGCAACAATAATGTGGATCATTTGACACAATCTGAAGTCAATCAAGGGCCTGAGCTCAGCTCTGTGGATTTAAATTCAGACTCCACTGCTCAATCTGTTGGTGAGGCTGAGGACGATGAAAAGGATCAGCAGCAAAGAAAGATGACAGATAGAGTGGGAGAGGAAGAGGGTGATGAGTCAAAGGAAGAGGAGAAGCAGGAGAGGATGGAGGTAAAGCAAAGTGTGAAACAGGATGAATTAAAAGAGGTGGGAGATATACAGGAAGAGGAGATACAGCAGGAAATAGAGGAAGAAAAACAACAGGAGGAGACACTGAATGAGGCAGAGGAGTTAAAAGAAAGACAGAAGCAGCAGGGAATGAAGGAAATACAAGAAGAGAGGAAGCAGGAAGAGATGGAGGAAGTAGGCAAGGTTGAGGAAATAAATGGAGAGGAAAGGCCGAACTTAATAGAGGTGAAGAAAGAAAAGGACAAACAGCGAAATGAGGAGTTAAAGGATGAGGAGAAAAGAGAGGAGGTGGAGGAGGTAAAGAAAGAGAGGAAACAGGAGGGTGTAGAGGGGTTAAAGGAGGAGGAGGA